TATAACAAATCAGCCTCCATCTCTGCTGTTTGTTTATCCGTAGAGCTTCTGTTACTTCCTGTTTACAGTTTAATATGTTTAAAGCTTTGTATTGACATTTCCTCACTGGTTTGCTTTCCGTTTGCACATCTGCTCTGGTTTTCTCTGGTGTCACGGGACGCGACCGTAAGTCTACGACACTGAGTGTTTTGATGTGGTAGCTTGTCCCGCTGGTGTCTGAGCTGTAGTCGTCCTTGTTTACCCGTTGCATGCGTTGTGTTCGCAGACGCCGCTCTCTGTGCTGGACAGAAAACGTCTTCTGTGTTTTGAACACGTCCAGCTTTGCTGTTTTTCTTTACGCTCCCTTCTGCTCTGTCCTCCAGCTATCCAAGGCTTCTCCCCCACGAGGAAAATCCGCAACTTCGAAGAAGCTCGAGGCCTGGACAGGATAAACGAGAGGATGCCGCCCCGCAAAGACGGCCAGCAGCCAGACGGGACCGCCATCAACACCAACGCTCCCAGCAAGAACGGCACGGACGGATAAGCGGCAGAGAGGCGGCCCTCACCTGTCTGCACACGACCCATACTCTCTGTGTGTCTCTGTCTCTCTGTCTGCGCTGGACCCGCCCCTTCAGTGGATCAGAACCCCATGGAGGTCGCAGCGCTGCCTAAACACGCCCAACTCAAAGGAAACATGAAGGAGGAGACCGCTGCCGAGAAATCTCACCTTATTTATTCAAGATGATACATTATTACATTATTTAATAGCGCCAGATAAATAAAACTGACACTGAACTTATATAAAAAAATGTTTTTAAAGAGAAAACTTTTGATAAAGTGATAGAAATAGAGTCTTTGTTTTGTAGGAGTTTCAGCCAGTGTTAGATTTTTTATTCTTCTGACTTTTTAAAGAAGGAAAATACTGTAGGCTGAGCCTCCTGGGCCACCGTCCGTACAATTCAGCGCTCAGATGCATCAGTAGTGATTGCACCGTGTTTTAAAGATGTTAAAAAGACTCAAACGTTTTTAAAGCTGTTTTAAAGGAGACCATTTTTAAGATTTCTGCTGCTTTTTCAGCTTGTGGAACAGAAACAAAGGCTACGTTCACACTGCTGGCCTTAAAGCTGTAGTGGAGGATTTTCTCGAATAAAAAAAAAAAAGCACATGCACAACCCTGTTCTCGCTCCAGAGAGAGATCGCCTATTAAACACGTGTGAGAGCTTTCACAAGCCCATTTCTCCTCCTGCACGCTCCGTTTAAATGTTTCTTTTTGCATCGCTCGTACAAGCTCACTTTCCAAAAGAAGATTCGGTAACTGCTAAGTGAAAATTGGGACGAGCACGTAGGACGGCCTTACGTTAACATATCATCAGAATGATTGACAGTTAGGAGGACGAATTATTTAGATGATCAACCTGTAAATAAAACATCCTCCACTATACCTTTAATTAATTCCGTTTTTTTTTTTTTTTTTTGTGAAATCCGATTTTGCGCAGTCATTCGCATTTCCAAATATATGCGACTTGTATGTGATCTCCTATGTGAACTGCGTTCATTCACCCCTTGCTCACACTGGCTCCGGTG